TCTGAGAACGAGAAAGTAAGAGCACAAATAGACGTTAGAACTCAAACACGAGATTTCATCAATACTTGATGCATATTCATAAAGGTTTAATATAGCAACGGGCTAGCAATCAATTATTTCGATCTGCCGCATACTCGCTCATTGATAAAGTCCATGAATACAGTATCTCGAACATGCCATTTAATTTAAACGCTGACGAACGTCCCATACTCGTCTCGTATTTCCGATTTCAAGTGCCACGCTTAAACTTAATTATCATGTTTCGAAACCGAAACTTCCGATGTACGATACGATCGCGCTGCCACATCGCAGATAATCGTTAATTTACCATCGATATTTCATCGAGTGCCAGCCAATTAATGGAAGGGATTAAAAGTTTATACAAATTCATACTAGCAGTTCATTTCCGTCCCGCTGAAAGTTCGATTGTGTGGAATTAAGCAGCGACCATTAAAAACCCTTTTAACGACCATTAAAGAATTAATGACACATATTTTTAATCTACCTTCGCGGAATATTTATTGAGATAAAAAAATGATACGAAATTTACTATCCGGTAATAATTATATAATATCAAGATGAAAAAATTATATTATTGCATTGTTTTTTTATCAAATATGTAATTAGAAATAATTTATAATAATAATTTATATAAAAATAATATGTTATACTGAATCAAATAATATAAATAAATATCTACATCATTTAATAAAGTACTCATAATATCAATTTTTATCTTTGTTCCTTTGTAAATGAAAAAGATCTGAACTCATTTATTCCGATTTTCTCATATATCTATGCAGTACCTCGACAAATATGTATCCTAACATTCCAAAACCGATTTTTTTACTTTTCAAAAACATTATTCCTGTTAAACACTTATCTTAATAAATTGCCATCCTAAAAAATAAACGCAAATGTTTATTTTATTAAAACAAAAATTCAGAATAGTCCTTTATATATGTCCTTTTATGCATTAATGTAGTAATCGATTCTGTATTATTAGAAAAATATTTCCAAGGGATATGATTATATATTTCGAGTTTCCTTTATAATATTCGCTATATGTAAATATAAAAATCGATAGGAGTCGTCGCGATATATTACTGTTTCTTCCGTTTCGTCCCGTACGGAGAAAAATATCGCTGTCAGAAAGCTCGCCAATTTTCGATCGCGTCTGCTCGATATTTAAAACTGTCTGCGTAAGGGCATCAGAATAAAAGTACCACGACAAGCGATACTTTTCATCTGTGTGCAAAGATTAATATTTTTTCATGAACGGATTTCTGTGCAACATTTCTCTCTTTCTTTTTCTTTCTTTTTTTCTTCCACCATCCGCTTCATCGTCTCGAAGCCAGCTCGTTAACAAAAACTATACAATAGTGAGAAAAAAAACGAAAGCTTTTCGCTCTTGTAGATACGCTTCGTATATTTGCTTGTCCTCCATCCCATCCCTACTATTTATTATTTTTATCTCGATAGACAAAAAATTATCATCTAATCATCTTCTTCGATGAACTTTATGCAGATCATGTTTGAAATGATTTTACAACATATCATAATTCTCTCCTATAACTGCAAGAATTATTCAGATGAATGAAGGGCAATAAAAAGAAAGTAAAACGAGAGAACTCTTTTTTTTTAAAGAGAAGTCAAATTTAGCCATAAAATGTTTAAAGCTTAAAAAATTTGACTCTAATTTAGAGTGACTGACAACTTCAATTATCTACAAAATTATGAAAATTAATAGAAATGTCGTCTTTTCTGTCTACATTTATATATGTATATCTAGCTAGGAGGTATTTACTCTTAAATTTAGTTTAAAAACAAATAAATAATGTTATAACTAATTAAATATTATTTTAAAAAGTTGAATAATTATTAAAACGTGCGTGACTCCAAGAGTATAACAATTTTAATCGCATAAAAATTCAACAAATGGATTATCGAAATAGATACGGTTCCAATTTTTGGAATCATCATTGAATATTGCACAGTATTTATAAATACTGTTGTGAGACGAAAACGCGAACGCAGTATTAACAAATTATTGTTTCAATTCGACAAAAATTTGTGCGATGTAATCATATTACGCGAATTATCCTAATATTGCAATTACTGACTTTATAATAACATTCCTTTAACATGATCAAAGTTAACAATAATTTATATCCAATTTTTTGTATTCAATAATAATTTGCTTAACTTTTAGATTTATATTTACTCAAGTATTTGCCGTTACAATCACTAATCAAAAACAGAAACATTTATATCTTTCAGTAAGCGATTGCGATCATTCTTCGCCACTATATTCATAACTTAAAAGTTATTCTCGTTATCGAGTTTTTGTAACAACATATTTATATGCATGTGCTATGGAGTGCTATATAAAATTCCTGTGCAAATTGCAGTCCAATCTGAGAGTTATGCTAGTCTATAACTAAAGCTCTCTATACTGCTATTGTCGCAATGACAATTACGACATAGTTTAGAAATCCCTTTGTTGAAACTTGGATTCATCAACAATCGCCTGTTCGATATACTTATATGATACAGATACTGGACAATGCTTTCACCTTCTCCCCAGCGGATCTTTGATTGATCGGTCTCTAACAGGCCAATATTCGGATTAATGTTTCAATGCAATTGTATCATAAACTACTAACTAGCGTACGCGAATTTAACTTTGACATGAAACAAGAGCTGAAAAGGATCTTTCATGCCTGAAAGGATCGTTAGAATGTTCAGAATCTGCATGAATGCTCAGAAATAAAAATATGCTTTATTATTACATTTTATTGTTATTTTAAAATGTATGGTTATTACACAAAGCTGTATTATAATTATTATATTCATTACAAGTACGAAAACAATTAATATTATATAACATTGTTGGAAAAATAAAGCAATATAATAATTTATTAATAAGAAAATAAGTAATTGTTTTATATTATAAACAATGAGTACTTATTTAAGCAATAATAACAAAAAAATATAGAATTTCGAACAATTGTCTATATTTGATATTATACACGCATATTCATACTTTTATTTATTTCTTAAAAAATATTTTAAATATAATTTTATTTACATTGTGAACACATTTTGTAATGTTTCATTTAAGGAGAATTTTTTCCTAAAATAAAATCAAAACTCCTACAAAGTCACCAGAGGTCGCTATTTTTCTAGCGCATCGACATGTCTTTTTATACTATCACAATAGCTCACGAAATCTCTAATATACGTAGTCACACTTGTCAATTTCCGTATAACAAATTCGTCGCGTCTAAGTCTAATTTTAAGAACTCGTTGTTTGTTCGTGCAAATTACGTGGATTATTATTTCGTAAATACAGGTTGCAAAACTTTCGTATCAAGCAAATGACTTGATAGCTTGAAACGTCATATTACACTTAAGAAATGGTAAAAAATGTATCAATTTCAAAATTTTTGATCATTCTCGGCATAAACTCTATCTCACAAACACGTATTAGTACGTATATTTTAATCCTGGAAAAGGATTTTCGAATCTGAAAAGAGAAAAAAATGTATTTGTTATACAAAAATTATATGATTTAATCGGTAATACAGATGGCTTTAAGATCCCCTTATTATTAATCTTAATTGTCTGGAGTGACAGTATTAATTTTATTTACGCATGAATTTTTCTTTCCAATTTTTTACTTACATTTCAGAAATTTAAATATTCACGTATTATTACATGTTTTTCTACAGATATATCACAGATAGATCCGATCGTTATGGATGAACGAAAATAAAAGCATGAGTCGCACTAGTACCGTGAAAATTTCCGTCGCTGAACTTTTTGTTGAATCTCTTTCTCTCTTTCTCTCTCTCTCTCTCTCTCTCTCTCTCTCTCTCTCTCTCTCTCTCTTTCTCTCTGCGCTTCTTTATTCTGACATCCGGATTAATTGATGCCACTATTAATTTTTCCAAGCGCGAGAGAGAAATTTCCGATTATCCAGCTTCCGAGAATTCGACCTAGATTCCACTTGTTTGTCGTCGCGATCGTCCGTTGGGACCAATCGTACTAGAACAAAATACTGAAGACGAACGTTGAAACTAAAGCTTACTAAGCTTTATTGTCCATCCGGTACGAGCCGATCGAAAAATAATTAAACGGCTTCACCAGGCAAATAATTAAACGTAATCATTACAAGAGACGCTCAAGCCGAAGAGCGATATTCTTTTTTGGAAAGTCAGCTCTTTTCGAATGAGAAACTCAAGAAGCAAGATAAACGCACACTTCGCCGCAACGAAGGAACCGTCGGTGATTCTCGCGAGTTTATTCAAACCAGTAAACTTCGCAGACTTGAAGGCGGATACGGAATTCCAGGGTTAGCAACGTATAATTTATCGTTATCAGAAATTCTGGATATATTCGCGCTCTCGAAACAACATAGGCAGAGCGAGACGTGTACACCGTAGCCAGACAACAGGGTTCTGATATATCCGCGGGAATATCGATCGTTTATACCGGTTATAATATCGTGCCATATTAGTATGCCACGTCTGCCATGATTCTTAACGGCCAGAACCGGATAGCGCGAACACGCTGCATCTCGA